TTTGCAATGGCGTCGGTGCATTTATTCTCTCAAATACTAATCTTCTGGATTATTTAACACCTCTAGTTTTGTCTTTCTAAACTTATCTCCATACTTCTTGAATAATATCTTCTAGTCCTAACCTTTCCCATTACTTCTTATACCTTTACTACATCTACTATTATTGGATTTGAACTGACAATTATATCTCTGTGCTGGTGTGGTATGGCAACATGAACTGATGTACTTACGTATGAAGTTCTACGTCGCATCTGACTGACTGACTGATCACGCCTCGTCACATCAAGTTGGTTCATTCATCTTCTCTGTTCTATTTCACTTTGCATATCCGCTTTTGATCTTCATACCCTTATGCGGGAATGACTGTATGAAATAAAATGGTCTAACTCAATCTGTAATTGACTTCTTATTATTCCTATTTCACAAACCAAGTTCACCTAAGCATAATATACGGAAATTAAATGAAAAATTTATTTCATAGAGTATTTGATCGTCCGTACAAATTACAGTCAGATTCCGTGCCACATAATCCAATCATGAATTCAATAAAATACATTATTTACTTATGATATTGTTCACATCAACATTAAAACTGTATGAAATGATTGGAAACAACTATCATTTTCATAATATTATCAAATTGAAAGTATCATTGCGTACCACCATGTGACTGAAATTCATTCATTACATTTTTTTTTTAGCTCCTTTCCAAATTAACAATCACTTGTCTCCAATAGTGTTGATTATCTGATAATTATCATTGTTTTTATTCTTAATTTTAAATAAATAAACTTATTCTATCTTCTATGGAATGATGACTATGTTAATAATGTTGTTAATGACAGTTGAGCAAAATTCCTTGTTGAGAATATATATATTCAAATAAGAATATATAAATTGTAGATGATTGATTGATAAGTAGTAGGAAGTAAAGTAAATCCAAAAAAAAACAAAAAATTGACATTTCACTAAGGAGATGAATTTTTTTTAAGCAAAATTGTCTTGGAATAAAATTAAAATTAAAAAAAAACAAATAAGTGTTGAACTGAAGCGATTGACAATTTATTATTCAGAAAAATAATGAAAGCTTTATAATTAATTGATTAATTCATTATTTCTAATAGGATGAATAATAGAGAAGAGAAGTAAATTTATTTATTAATTAATTCAACTAGTTTAATTGAGTTATAAAATATTCATGAAATATATTGTGTACATAAATTATTATAGTTTTTTAATTTGTTGAAAGTTTATTTACAAGCTGCTGTCAGTTAGTTTAGTTATGAATGTTTTTTTTTGTAAAAATAAAAAATTTTGTATTAATATTATAACAAGTTCATTATTTTACTGCAGTTATTTTTCAGTAGACTGAGAAAGAAAAATGATTTTAGGTTAGAAGCTTAAAATACAGATAAATGAAGATGATGTGTTATGGTGATATAATTTCAGTACTATAATTGTATATCATTTGTTCTCAGTTATTAAAATTAATATTCTTTGTAATGAGATACAACTTCGCCTGTAACTGTTCTAGGGTTAGCGTGGTACTCAAACTCTGATAAACCAAGAGGATTGGGTATGTAGTTAGTGAGCTCATCCCGTAGAGAACAACCTTCCTATAAAATGCTAACAGGAAAATATCTTTCAAATCATTTAAACTCTGACCTGAGAGTTGTTGAGAAAACTACTATGATAACTGTTTTGCTGAAGATTTTACAAGCGTTTTCTATGATAGAATACCATCAAAAATCTAAACTATTTTACAGTAATTATTTTTGTATGTTATATCCCAAGATGTACTAACTTGATTATCAACCGAGTAGGTTACAAGAAAAATTTATGTTAATAGGATTGGATTGACTAGATGAAACGGCTATCATTGTGGGATATGCCACTGAGTCTGTGGAGAGGGTATGACAAACTTATTTTGAATTTATTCTGTTAATTTTCGACTGCTTGTACATTTACTATAAAATGATTGTACATGTTGTTTAAGTATGTTACCTTGGATACAAGTAACGTTGACTACCCGATGTCTTTATAAAACTTAGTGGGTGAGACGTATCTTGTAAAGAATGACATACCGGGAGCACACCTTTAGGTCATAGTGGGTGAAGTTCTCGACGCACAATACTCATAAAGGGTTATCTTTCGGTATGAAAACAGCAATTTTCAAATAAATTGTGGATATTGTGACAGATCAAATACCAGGGGTTGCTGCCTACTTAGGTGACTTCTCAGGAGGAATTATTCGGCAGACTTGACAGCGTCCTGTCAAACTTTAACACCTTAGGTGAATATATATGAATAAATGTTTTATGCAAGCAATCGTAATTGACGAAGACAGCCGTAGAACCTATCTTGATAATATCAGTGTGCTTGGACAAATGCCAGTTCCACAAGATGTTAGACAATTACAATCATTCTTGGGTATGATCAATTTATAGCGTCTTTGTCCATCAACGTATCAGCTGAGACACACTCATTGAATCAAATTTTGTCGGATGGTGCGAAGTAGCGATATTCTAGATAATAGTAACGATAGTGACAGAGTGAAAGTATTAGTCCACTATAATGTTAAATTAGAAATCGTAGTCGCGTCGGAGGTCTCATATTACGGTATTGCGAAGATTATTTAACATTTTTTTCTTGAGGACACACAGGTTATTTGTCATGCTTCACGGAAATACACAAGGACAGAACACAATTACATTCAAATTGAGGAAGGATTAGCCCAAATTTCGACTGCCAAGTATTTGCTCAAAATGCCTCATGGTTCATGTTTCACATTGTGTACAAACCAAAACCACTTGCAATTTTTTTGGAGCTGAAAAAGGAGCCACAATTTAAACAGTAAACCAACTTTAAAGATGGGCAGTGACCTCGATAGGTTATAATTTTCATATCGTCCGAATCTACGGACTCTTCTAGTGATGCGATGTCCTATCTAGATTGATCAGCAACTAGGATCTGGAAGGTGAGAACATAGTAGTCACTATTGTTTTGGCGGAAAACGAAGTCCACATTATTTACACATGTGTTGTTTTACACGAAGAGAAGTTGCGCATCCCAGCAAGAATAATCCAACTGTTTCATAAAGGAGGAAAATGTAATGAGATCACCCTGTGAAATGTGAGGGAGAGGTACTACATCCAGATGAAGATTCCAGAAATGGTGACTTCCAGTAACAACTTATACATTATTATTAAATATATTCTTATTGCATCGTTATTAATATATAACTAGATCATCACATTTATATTCCCTTTGTCATAAGCTCTTGATTAAATCACTAAATACTATTGTGTGATTTATTATTTACAGTCTCCCCTATTCACAGACACTTTTGGCTTACTCACGGCTAAACGTAATTCCTCATTTTATGGTGTGAAGTGATCTGCTATGTTTCGTATATAAACTATATCTACTCGAAATATAACAATTTTATGGTGGCTAGCTACGGACTTTCGGACTAAATGGCAGGGTAGAAAGAAATCGGTTATCGAGTTGTGGACCAATAATAATTTAGAAACGACTCACAGTTTCAGGTGTTAACTTAATTCTGAACTGGTGCTTTGTATTTTTACCAAGTGATATTAGTCGACGATTAGGGATGCAACACTACTAGTACTACAGTGAACCAATTTAAAGAGAGTGGAACCCAACTACTCACAGAGAAAATATAAAACATTATCTCATTCGTTTCTTGATCTTATAGTGACTGCATCATTATTATCCAGAACAAGCCTTTCTACTTGGGATTCTAAACTTTTTGATTCTATTGTTACTTTCTTTTACATGCTATTAATTTCATCCCAGTACTGTCCTGATGTAATGTTGAGAATTGAACTGATAAAAATTACGTCGTTCTCCAACTGATATATTATCGTTCTCGATTAACAATTGAGCATACATACCCTTATTTAAACTAAATTCTGAGTTAGAATAGCAAACAAAACTGTTTTGACTTTCCTTATATTTAATGTTCAAAATAGTTTGTTTATAAGTTTAACATTGATTTTATGAAGTTATTTTCATTGTAATTAATTGTAATCAAATTCTTGCGATAAACACAAATATATGCAGGTTCTTTTATTTTATGATTGTGACTAATAGACAATAGCCTCTAAATAATCTTTAGTTTTTAGTTTATATATAGACATAGCATAATTTTATGAAATATTTAACTGAGAACAATCGGCAAAAAGTAATTTCCAAGACTTAGACATGGTCTAGAATTGAACAATAAAATTGTTACACCGATTCTTCTGTTTAATAAATTTGGAACTGAAATAGACCTTATTCGTATATGGAGACTGATAATTGTTAGATTTTATTGTTTACATAACGAACTAATTTTATTTGGTAAAACAAACAGTGGAAACAAAGAAACACTGGACCGATATTTCATCCTTATATGAGACTGCTGAGTGATGAATCCACGATCTCATCAAAGATCGAACTCAGGAATTACAGATCTTGAGGTGTGGAAGCGCACTGCTGGAGGATTCTCATACTAATAAGAAACAACTATGCTTCCTTAACTCAGAATGACACTTGTATAATCTTCCCTTTTACTTTAACTTAACACAAACTTATGAAATCGAATAAAATAATTCATGAATTTACCAAGAACTTGTAAGCATACTCATAACTATACTGTAGATTTGTGTGTACATTACACATTGGTTGATATTATTAAATTTCTCTAATAAACAGTTTGGCATTTTTTTTACAAGACAGTGAAACCAAGCTATTTCATTTTCAAACTATATATACACTACCCATAAATTTAACTCGACATTTACTTAGGGTCAATTTTCTTCAATCCTTCACTACTACTCTTTGAGTTATGGGCAAATATGTTACATTTCTTATAAATAGAGTGAAATAAAGAAGACTAAATAAATCTAGCTTTTTCAAAAGATAGATATTCGCTATTATGTGCATACTCTGAATCGAATAAGAAGTGGAATTGAGCGGAAAAATAAATGATTGAACACACACACACACACACATATATATATATTATATACAGACATAACTAGAAGCAAAAACATAACTCACTGATATGAATGTAAAACTACTGCATTTTTAAATCATTGAAATCTGAAAAGAAAAATCTTTCGATAAGCAGAATTTAAAAAAAATGATGAAAAGTGAAGCGAAACAAAAAAGCAAACTTAAAGTCAAAAAGTTATTGGGTTCAGGTGAGTAATGTATAAATATACATATATATATACGCACACCGGTGAGAGGCGAAACAATAATCTTTTAGAAACCAGTCACCATCACATAAGGTGATGTGTAATAATTGGAAATGTATAACAAGTAACAGAACACCAGTATAATTTGAATGAAAATCTTAAATAATACACACAAATGTGCTTAAAAAAATAATAATAATAATAAGCAGAGCAGTTAATTATGCAAATGCCATAATAAATAATACAGAAAATAAACAAAAACTTAAGCAACTTTTAATTTACACAGTCATAATTATATTATTTGGATCATTTACAGGCATAGTGATATTATCATTAATATTATTGGACTCATTTTCTTTGATTGAATTATTATTAGTATTTATAGTAATAGTTGTATTAGTAGTAGTAGTAGTTGTTGTTGTAGTAATTGTTGCTGTTGTTGTTGTTGTATGTCGTTCAGCAGAATTAGCATAAATACGATCCCAACCGTATGGATGACGTGAACAACAGAAAGCATAACAATTCCATAAGAAACCCTAAATGAATAAATATTCAAGGGAAAAAAAGAATAATAATGATAATGATAATAATAATAAGAAGTATATTCTAACTTAAAACTATATTTATAAGAATAATTATTATTCATCAACATGATAAAGGAACAACACTAGACGTAAAGTTAGTTTATTATTAAATGAACTAATTATTGGAAAATCAAATTCAACTGATTGATGAGTACATATGTAAAAATGGTTATTGCAAACAATGAATCTAATTTATTAATGGTCCGTACCATCTCTCCATGAATAAAAACAGTTCATTTGACTTTAATTGAGTAGAAAGAGTTCGGTCCTAAGAAAACCATCTGTTTCAATATCCCAGCACTTATGATATGGGTAGGCAGTGAATATATATATTCATAGTTGTCACTCACTTATTAGACAACCAAGTGAGTATTATTCAGGTTAGGTATATGGTAATAAGATGATATGATAAATCGATTGAATAATCGTTGAACATTGTTACGTTGAAGTAGTTTAGATATATTTTGAACTTTCCTAGCCATCATCTCTACCCTCCAAACTAATGCACATAAGTCAGTTATTCTTTAAGTACATTTAAATGCTAAATCTTTATGCTATTTACCACTGTCCGTTTTCAGTTGACTTGTTTCTTTGGGATTATAATAAGTGAATTTAAGTTACACGACCTATCTGTTTATGATCTTGGTAGTTTTAACCAACGCAAAGGATACTGTAAACTGGGGTAAAATGACAACACAAACAAGATGCTCTAAGTTTAAATACAATCAAGAAAAGTTTTCTCTAAAATGCAATCCTTCAGTAAAAGCTTGCTGTGTGAGAGAAGAAAAATTATGATTGGTTATTTACCAAGACAAAACTGGATGGGTAGTCTAACAGGTATTTGAGACGACACATTATTCCCTACCCTTTGCATTATGATAAATTATGTATCGACTAGTATATACACATTGAAATCAGGCTAATCACATGTCATTGATCTGAATTGTATTGAAGTCCAATAGAATAGTTCTGACTGGGTATCCAGTGTAAAGAGAATCAGTATTATGACAAAATGTATTTTGATTATCGAATATTTCATTAAGCAGACAGATTACATCTATTTACCCAGTTGAAGTCAATTATAAAGATGGTTGAGATGATAGCAAGTGGCTAGAATGAAAGAGAAAGAATAAAGCCATTTAATTAAAACAATAACTGTATACTACACTCGCTACGAAAGGTGAAAACCTTACAAAACTTCATTACCGTAACTCAGTGAGCAGATCAATAGATCAAAAACCTAATATTTAATCATTCAAATCCAACAGAGAATAATAACCTGATACTCAGTTCATCAACAATACAATAAGATCTATCATTAATGTAACTTACACAGATATGCATAAACAATGGGGAAACTATGAAATGCATGTCAACTTTTCATTAAATTAACTAAGACACATATCATAATCAATAATCAATAAAACAAAACATTGTTATGATAATCAGAACTTAAAATAACATCTTACCTGATTGAAAGGATTTTCATCAGATTTTAAACTTTGTAAATAAGTGATACGATCATGTGCTACTGTTTCCCATGTTGTTTTATTCACTAAAGCTAAATAGATATGAAATCCAAGTATTACTGTAACCGGTATTCCACAAATAATGAGTAGCATCATAAAAAATAAGAATAGACCATTATTCTGAAACCAAATATCCCATTTTGATGATTCAACTAGAGAATACCTGAAATAAGCATAAATGTATTGAAATCAGAACATAAAAATGATACTGTAAGATAAAAGTGTAGACAACACTGACTAATCTGTTCATTAATTGAATATTACTTACAGTAAGTAAAACTGTTAAACCATGAACTTGTTTGTTGCAACAAAAGAAAAGAAATATTAAAATGAGACAACGTTGAAGTGAAAATTTTCATAACAATATGACAAGTGCCCATGGGAACAAATGATATATACACATAAACATGGGTAATACACGGTAAGTACCAGTATGAACATACATATCTACATCCGCGATGTTACTGTTGACTATGATTTAAATTATTAAGAGAAAAAAAGAACTAGTAGCTATGATACAATTTCATGAGAAAAACGTCTCGATTGAATATAAAATTCATAACTGTCAGAACGAACGTCGTGTAAATATTTGCTACAGTTTTAAGCAAATCTTATCAGCCAAAAACAAATAATCTAATTGAGAATCAATCTAAGAGAGTTTAGTCCGATTGAAGTTAGTTATTCAACCAAACATTGAAATATTTTTCTTCTGATCTTCACATGAAATGGTGTTAAATTACATAAAATAATTACAATAATAGTTTTTATCGATTCACTTACTCTACTAAATATTATTCTCTCTATAGAACATTTCATGAAACACAACTCATACTAGACAAAATTCAATCTCAATAAAAATCAAATTACATTGATTCAAGAGAGGCAAATATACATTGCCGTTTAGCAAAAAAGTAAAAGATAAAATATTATTAATCACATATTTATTTCTAGTACAACAATAATATTAATAGTAATAATAATAATAATAATAATAATAACTTGGAGTAGCTTACCAACAATAATAGAAGCACCACCAAATTGAAACAGTTTGACAAAATAGAAATACAACAAATGCAGAATGATTACGTTCTCCAATACAATTTGCAACCCACGGACAATGATGATCAAATTTTAAAACACAACGATTACAATCTGGACAATGACGACAACGCAATGGTTGCTAGAATATAATACAAATGTCAACATTAGAAAGAATATACAGTGTTAATGTTAAAAATAACTAGTGTAATTAATAATAATAATATATTTACTCTCAAATAACAGCGTGTTAAAAGAGACATGCCCAGTGCATAGGCTAGATCAAATTGCAACCATATTTACTGTAAAAGTTTGCGTAATATTAAGTTAATACGTTAAATAAAATTCTGGGATTATTCATCAAAATCAATATCAATAATGCAGAACGATAGAAAGTAATTATGTAATTACAAAATTATATTAAAAATATTAAATAACAGATTATATAATATGTGGTATATTTCAATCGTAAGTAAGCAACGACAACAAGATATTATATGAAAATAAATATTATTGGTGTTCAATGGTTAAAGTATCTATCAACTAACAAAATGGAATCGTGATTAGCCTTATTTGAAAACTTGATAAACCATCGGAACTCATAATTCCAAATAAGATTCAATTTGAAACATATTTCTCTCCAAAGGAACAAACGACATTACTTATAAGTTACATTAAAAGAATCTTAACTGAATATTATCTATAGCTTAGAACAACAACTCGAAATTGACAAATATTGAATAAATCAACTTAACCAGGTAGTTTACACCTAACGACATGACTCAGTTCACTTGTCAGACACTTCATGGATTTGTGCCATGTTTTGGTCTGATCACCCCCATCTTTGATTCAACCTGGCCGTACACCACAAAACATAGCTCTTCGTCACAGTCGGTGGTTAGGCATACGTAACACATGTCCCAACCACCTCAACTGATGAAGTTTCACCACCTCATCTGCCATCCTTACCTGGTAATTGTTTCCTAATAAAAGCATTACTTACTCGGTTGTCACAGGATATACGAGCAATGCTTCAGAGACACCTATGATTGAATACCAATAACCTACGAATATCTTCTACTCTTAACGGCCATGTTTTGAATCCATATAGTAGGACAGAGAGAACTCCTGCGCAGTCAATTCATCCTTTGGTTAGCAGCCGGATATCTAGCCTACGCCATAAGTGACTCAAGTCGGCAAAACCTAGACGACCCTTTGGTAACCGTGCTGAGATTTCGTCAGTCACCAGGCCATCGGTACTGATGAGACTCCCCAGATAAGTAAAGCAGTCTACACGCTCGACTACTTCACTCCCTATCACTAGTTCAGGTGCCGATGCAACCCAGTCTTGAAGCGACATTTTGCATTTCGAGGGGGAAAACCGCATCCCGAACATGCTTGCATTGTTGCTTAAGGTAGTCAGAAGACTCTGGATTTTGTCTTAAGTAAAACTGTATAAATTTGTGTGATGTTCATAGGTTTAACAGAAACTACTAAATCACAGATCAGAATTATATCAGGATTAAGTTATATCGAAAAAATTCATTTTTCTAAATGATTAATTATACGAAGATAACTTGAAAACAAAGAAAAAAATATCCATCAAAATATACATGATTAACAAATTTTACTAAGTAACTGATGTGGCAAATAATCAAATACATCATGAAAAAAATTACTTCACTTAATAATGAGTCAATTAAATCACCTAATCAATATATGACTATTTGTTTTCCATTAATTGAGTCAAGTTTAAAGGGAGAGAGAGAGAAAAAACAAATATAATGAACTACACCATATAGATATTCATTATCTTCAGTCAATATAAGTACGAGCATGAAATAAAATAATAAAACATTCAGTATATATATATATATATATATATATATACTACTACTACTACTACTACTACTACTACTACTACTACTACTCAAGTGACAATAATTACGATAAAAAACTGGTTGTTAATACAAATGAAGTACTTTCACTGAGAATAATTCACGTGACAGGTTGAAAAAAGATACATTATAGTACACTAAGAAACCTATATTTACTATAAATATATATATGATAAGATGGTAGGAATTGGAATTAAAAAGACTTGCACACTTTAAAGTATAGCCAATTAATTTTCATCATGAAATTTGTAATAACTGGCTGGAAGGACTATCGCAAATTAATAAGTACAAAGACAGTTGACTTAACCATTACACCACTGGAAGGTGGTGACAATTGTCAACTACCAGGTTTAACTTAACATATTTTTCATTTAAATCATGAATCACTTATTGCTAGACCACCATTAATAATAATAATAATTATTATTATTATCATTATTACTGGTGGATATGGGGTTGGCGACCCCAGCCTTTCTTCGGGATACCGTAAAACTCAACGAATTCAAGATAGCCCTCACCAATAGGTTCCAGGCCTTGCACGATATACTCAATGGAGAGGAAGCAACATTGGAGAACAATTGGAAAGGGATTAAGGAGGCAATCACTTCAACATGTCACGAAGTTCTGGGTCACAAGAAGTACCATCACAAGGAATGGATCTCTGTTGATACTCTTGAAAAAATTGAAGAAAGGAGGAACAAGAAGGCAGCAATCAATGTCAGACGAACAAGAGCAGAGAAAGTTACCGCACAAGCTGCATACACAGAAGCAAACAGGGAAGTGAAGAAGAGCATCAGAGCTGACAGACGAAAATATGTGGAAGATCTAGCAATGACGGCGGAAAAGGCTGCAAGAGAAGGAAACTTGAGACAATTGTACGAAACTACAAAGAAGCTCGCCGGGAACTATCGTAAACCAGAACGACCAGTGAAAAGTAAGGAAGGCAAAGTAATCAGCAACACTGAACAACAGCGAAATAGGTGGGTCGAGCAATTTAAGGAACTCCTAAATCGACCAGCTCCACTGAACCCACCCAACATCGAAGCAGCATCCACGGACCTCCCAATTAATATTGGCGCACCTACGATTGAGATCAGTATGGCCATCAGACAAACCAAGAGCGGCAAGGTAGCAGGACAAGACAACATTACAGCAGAGGCAATAAAAGCAGATGTAGAAGCAACTGCGAAAATATTTCACATCCTCTTCAAGAAGATTTGGGGTGAGGAACAAGTACCATCAGATTGGAAAGAAGGGTACCTGATCAAAATACCAAAGAAAGGCGATCTCAGCAAGTGTGAGAACTACAGAGGCATCACTCTTCTTTCAATACCAGGCAAAGTCTTCAACTGGGTATTGTTAAACAGAATGAAGGACTTCGTAGACGTCCAACCTCGAGATCAACAGGTCGGATTTCGTAAGGATCGATCGTGTACTGAACAAATTGCTACATTACGGATCATTGTGGAACAATCAATTGAATGGAACTCACCACTCTACATCAACTTCATCGACTACGAGAAAGCATTCGATAGCGTGGATAGGAAAACACTGTGGAGGCGTGTTTGACACTACGGTGTGGCCTGAGAAAATAGTTAACATCATACGGAATTCTTATGATGGATTTAACTGCGAAATCGTACACGGAGGACAGCTAACAGACTCTTTCGAGGTGAAGACCGGTGTGAGGCAAGGTTGCTTACTCTCACTCTTCCTCTTTCTCCTGGTCATCGACTGGATTATGAAGACGTCGACATCTGGAGGGAAGCACGGTATTCAGTGGACATCTAGGACGCAGCTGGACGATCTGGACTTCGCAGATGACCTGGCTCTTCTATCGCACACGCAACAACAAATGCAAGAGAAGACAACCAGTGTAGCAGCAGCCTCTGCAGCAGTAGGTCTCAACATACATAAAGGAAAAAGCGAAATTCTCCGATGCAACACAACATGCACCAACCAAATCACTCTTGATCGAGATGTCTTGGAGGACATTAAAACCTTTACATATCTGGGCAGCATCATCGACGAGCAAGGTGGATCGATGCAGATGTGCGTGCACGGATGGGCAAAGCAAGGGCTGCATTTCTACGGTTGAAAATTATCTGGAACTCCAAACAACTTTCAACCAAAACCAAAATAAGGATTTTCAATACAAATGTGAAGACAGTTCTACTGTATGGAGCGGAAACTTGGAGAACTACGAAAGCCATCATCCAGAAGATACAAGTATTTCTTAACAGTTGTCTACGCAAAGTAATTCGGATTCGTTGACTAGACACCATCAGCAACAACGAACTGTGGGAGAGAACAAACCAGATTCCAGTGGAGGAGGAAATCAGGAAGAAGCGGTGGAAGTGGATAGGACACACACTGCGAAAAGCACCTAACCTCATCACGAGACAAGCCCTCACATGGAACCCTCAAGGCAAAAGGAAAAGAGGAAGGCCAAGGAACATACTACGCGGAGAAATAGAGAAAGATATGAGAGGAATGAACAAACATTGGACAGAACTGGAGAGGGAAGCCCAGGACAGAGTGGGCGGCCTATGCTCCATTGGGGGTAACAGGCGTAAGCAAGTAAGTAAGTAAGTACTGTTATTGTTCTTATAAATGAATAATATGAATACAATCTTCATAAACTTCTTACACTGAATAAAATACACATATTATAGTGTTGCTAAGAAAATATATTTCAGAATGGATTTTATACCAACTTATAAATAAGGCTTTGACTGACAACTATTTGACATAATCATAAAGACAGCTTATCTATACGTTTAACTAGCTGTGATTTTACAGCTAGAGTATAACAAATTCACCATCTGACCAACCTTAGTAGAAGATTTATCATAGAGTCGTTAGAAAAGAGTAAATCATATGCTATAAGTATTTTGGTTCGAAATATGGTAATATATAATCCAACACTACACAATATGAGGGTTCAGCTAGAATAGAATTTCAACATTAAGAAACTTTAACAGAACTAAATTATTACAAATTAATAAATAATTGCATGTTTAGTTTGATAAAAATTAAAAACTTTTATCATTCTATAGGGAATTCATTCAGAGAGGTAAAAAAAAAAACTATAGTTAGTTGTACTCATTGATATAGCTGTAAAACAGCCTTAGAGCTTGTAGATCATCATAAGTTTGTTAAATTTAGTTCTACTTGTCCTACTTTTATGAGTACTTCTGCTTAGTTTCCCGTATTTTTTGTATCGTTGCACAAACGTTAAGTTGAATTAAACATATACATCATAGAATGCTAGGTCAGTGGTTTATTGATTGAATGTTTGTGATGGAGACCAAAGGTAGTGGGATTGATCCTCAGTGGGATACAGGGTGCCCACCGATATGTCACATGTCAGGATAAAACAGTTGTCTAGTGCTTCCTGGTTTTTAGTGATAGTCTAGCAAAGATCGTTTCTTGATTTAAGTTAACATTAACTCATAATTGTTACTACTTTTATCAAAGTTTATGAGTGGTTTAAAGTAGACTTTCATCCAAGTATTTTTTAGGAATTTATAATCTCCCGTTACTGATATTAAGAACCTAGACTAATCAATATTGACCAGAATATATATGTTAATCCCAAGCAGAATGCCTCAATGTTGCCATTGAGTTACTAGTTTCTAGCAGAACTGAATAATGATTAGAAGTGGAATCCAAGAGGAGCATTTCATACTATTTTGGATTCGTCAGCTGGAGGTAATTGCATCTCAAACATACTAGTCTTGAATCTTATTCCCCGATTATCAAAACTACGATGCAGATACACTCAGTGGTTAAATCCCGAATAGGATGAAATGGGTACCCTGTATCCCATTGTTATTCAATGTACAGCTCCACCTAAGTCGATAAGTAATTCATTAAAGTAAAGAATACAATTCAACAATGAGCAATGGACCAGGCGATCGTAATACATAATTAAATATGAGAAACAAATAATGAAACTTATTAATCATTCATCATGTGAATTAAATCCTATGCTAACAAGTAACTAGTCTTACCTCTAGAAGACAATGTTTACAAAATCTCACAGGAATAGATAAATTAACTAAAACTTCACAATCTGTATTCATTTTAGAGCAAAAAATATTTGGCCAACTCTTGTTTAAATTCATAGAGAATTTATTTGGCTTCGCTTGAACAGTAATATTTCCTCCTATTGTACATTGAGTTTCAGATCGACCAAGTTGATGTTGAAAGCGTGATTCTAATTGTGAATGAGTCTGATCTGATGGTATTTTCTTATCATAAGTTGTATTAGTATCATATTCACTGCTACATATAGGTCGCTCATCATCAGAATCACTAATTAACGAAATATGACCGCGTCGATGCCGAAACCATCGAGCCTTTAAAGAAATAAAATGAACCAATATAAAAACAATTAAAAACACAATTCAGTGGATAAACAATACACAGTGTATACACAAAACATACACAGGGAAGTGATATTGAACTCTCGAAACAATGTATTTGCAAAATCAGACTAATTTCTAACGAGTTCAGCATACAAGCAATGATATGGAATTACTAGAAAGGGGAATAAAATTGTTTCTGTTGAACTAAGTATCTTTTAGGTACACTTAAATCCTATTTTGTGCATATCACGACAAAACACAGGTTTGCAATTTTGAATAAACATCGAAACCTTGAAAGAACATAACAAACTTCATCTGCAAGTTGTTATTGCATTTAGTGACAAGTGTTTTAGCACAAGTGGTTTGTGGTAATTGATTCATTTATAGCAGTTGATCAACATCACTGTAGTTAGGCAATGATAAGCATAACTAAATCAGCACAAAATACATCATACATAATTAGATCCAATGAAGAAGCTACTCAATGCAATGATTATGAAAATAACAATTTGAGGTTGATTTTCTTAACCACAAATAATCGAAGAAAAATAAACATCACATCTATAACTCCTTGTGGGAAGTTTGTAAAATCGATGTAAAATAACCAGCCTCTTTCAAATTACTGAATATTTTTCCAATTGGAATTATCAAGATCAGTGTTTTTGCATATTGAAATCGTGAACCAATCATCGTTAGACCACCATCAGAAATATGAAAGCACTGGATGGTCGTCTCATCCTGATATGGGACTCATCAAAGGTGCGCATCCATGATTCCCGCTACTCACAGGAATAGGACCCAGGACTTTCAGTCTAGAGCGCGAACGCCTAACCTCTGTGATGCCGGCCCAGTGGTCCAGAGGTTAGGCGTTTGCGCGTAAGACCGAAGGTCCTGGGTTCGAATACTGCAAGTAGCAGGGACCATAGATGCGCACTGCTGGTGAGTTCCATACCAGGACGAAATGGCCGTCCGGTGTTTCCAGGTTTCTTCTATAGGTGATCTAGCAATGATCGACTGATGATCACCTTATATTATTATCATTACCATTATTATCATTATTGTTATTATTATTACCTTTTCAGCAGTCAAATAACCCGGATCAATGCAACTTGTCAAACAGTAGGTAATAAGTGAAATACCGAAAAAGGCAAAAAAGCAAAGGAAATGAATGAGATCCTGTTCAATGAAAACAATTCGATGCAATTCTGAAAATAGACAAGATAAAGAAATATGACTCAGCTAGGAGAATTAATAAATGATTAATTTACTGAAATTATGAATATTTTGTTGAAACAATGAGCTTGCTAAACAATATATAGTTTTATAAAATCTAAACTAATGTATATTAAACTATAATGTTGAGTGATATGAAAACATATTTGCAAATGAATTCATCCAAATTTTACGACAGGAACAAGTACTATGACATAAATGACCCTGTTTAACTTAATTAAAAATTTGAACAGTCGGAAAATCCATTCTTCAATTAAAACAACTGAATTTTTAAAAAAAGTAACAACAATAACTCTTCAGTTACTAAATATGAAGTTAAAATTGTTGTTGTGAGCAGATCAAGATATATACGAATATACGCATGAAGTTATTCACTACTGGTCTAAGAAATGTGATCTTAAACAACCTATTAGAGATCAGGTAATCACAAAAACTCAGTTGCTACCCGTTAAAGTCAGTCAGTCAGTCAGTTACAATGTAGAACTTCGTACGTTCGTACATAAATTCAGGCCGCCATACCACATCAGCACAGAGAAGCAACTGTCAGTTCAAATCTCAGTGGTAAAGATAGTTGAAGTATTAGCGGTTATGGAGAAGATTAGGGTGTAAAGAGATTATTCAAGAAGTATAATCCAGTGAAATAAGTTTAGAAAAAGAGAGCTAAAAGCGATGAGGAATTCAGAAGATTAGAATTTCAGACAACACAACGAGTGGATGCACCTGCGCCATTACAAACGATTTTGAGCCACGTCGTGCAAGGTCTTAACCATTGGTGACTATCGTCTTGCGGACCCTAACCAGGTGGCCTACATCTACCAACATGGTGCGATCCGGTTGTTAGTGACTTCATGGATTTGTGCCATGTTTTGGTTTGGCCGCCCCTAACTTTCTTCCTACCTAGTCCTGCACCACAAAACATAGCTCGTCGAGACAGTCGGTGGTCGGTCATATGTAACACATGTTCCAGCCACCTCAACTGATGAAGTTTCACTACTTCATCTATTGATCTGCCGTCCCTACCTAGTACTCGTTTCCTTACGACAGCATTGCTTACCCGGTTTTCACAGGGTATATATATGAGCAACGATTCGAAGACATCTTTGATAGAATACTGATAACCTACGAATATCCTCAACTCTTACCGGTCACGTTTCGGCATAATTTCTTTTTGTTTTTGAAACTGTGGTTTATCCACATTTAACAATTCAACTTTTAAATATCAAGTTAGAGGTATGTTGTATTCAAAAAGATTTTACTGTTATTTATGAAGTTAGTAGTAGTTTCAGTCTAATGAATGAACTATTATTGTGTTAGATGAGCTGCATTTAATTTATTCATTAATAAACTCTATCGACGCAACATAACGATTTTAAGTTGTAACTATTTCAAATAATATAATCCAGTTGATGAAACAAATCAACAACGACAACAAATGTAACATCTTTAATTTAAGATTAAAGCCAAATACAATTAGAACTCAATCAAATAAAATACTTTTTACACGAAACAGATAAACATTGGTTGTATGTAACTTACCAGATTCACATAATAGTAAAGGCAATAATACACCTAGACAAATGGTGATATGAAGAAAAGGAATGAAAAAACGTAGATGGATTCTTGCATACTGATATAATTGATAACAACACATTATTGTCCATGTATGAAATAGATCATCATGTCACTGGTTAAGCAAGTAAACTATCTGAAAACATAAAATAATAAACAGAAAAAAATTATATGGTTAAGCATTATTCACAAAATAATTTTTCAATACATAAAAGAACTAAAGCCAAAATACAAAAATAATGATGATGAATAAGAGAATCTTGACTAGTTGATTGTTTTAAAACACAGTTACCAATGAAAAAATAAAGTGTTCCGTGAACGTACTGTACTAAATTATTCTCATCATACATGTTTTAAAAATAGTCCTAATTTAACGAGGACATGCTTGATTATTCAGTCAATGAAGGGAAGGATTTCAAACATTCCAATTTTATATGGCGATTCATATTGTCACACTAGCTAGACAAAATTCGACTGATCAAATTATATACGGCATCTATTTGAATTTAGAATTGAAATTAGCTGACGATGATCATGAAAGGATACTTTGACTGTTAAACAAAGGAGTAAAAACTGAGAAACCAAGATGGATTGAGAATTCAAAAAACCTAGCTGACTTGGTCAACTTTTCTCTCCAAGTACTTCCAGTTTAGTGACCGGAACTCTTTTCACGAGAAAAAAAAAGACTTCAGAACTATTGTAAAGTGAATTTTCATATTACTTCATCCAAATAAAAAAATTAGTTTAATTTATCGGAAAACTTTATGAATGCTTTATTTGTTATTGACGAAACAGATTAACTTTACAACTTTAGAGTTGAACAACTTCACTAATAACAGCTCTCTCCTTTGAGTTCACTAGGAGAATTTTTGTAATATCTATAATCAGTATTGAATCATGTTTATTGCAAACGCCTGGTGACGACAGATCAACAGAGAACATTTGCAATCTTGAGAAAGTTAAAGCCTACTTCAAAGATCCGAAAATGTATCATTCGATGTTGCTGTCCGACATTTCAACACTGAGTTATACAATCTGCAACCAAGTGAAACTTTAACGCTAAACAATCATTAGCGAATAGTGACCAGTGTCATGTTTCCTAGTCCTTAGTGGTGGTCAATACTTACCGATAGCATATACCCAAAACAAAACATTATGACACTTTATTCAATAACCTGAAAATAAACCTAATTCTATAACTTGTTGAAAAAGACCAAATCCGTAAACAAATATGTTCTAATCAGTAGTAATTCATTAATTAGTTAATAAATGATCGAATTAGAGTACCACCAATTGGAAATAAGAGACTTTTGTGGATGTTACACACACCAAAATATCACGACTTAATATGCTTTAAATGGTTGGAAATTTTCTAATAAACAATCCGCTGACGAATAGACTGACCAATTTCATTCCATGAAGTAAAATAATTAATACAGACAGAAAGAACTGTTTGTAGCAGCCTCAAATCAATACCTCAACATTTATCACAAACAAGTTTAAACTTAATTCATCGTAACCATATCCTACAGCCGAGTCACTAACTTTTAACCGTACAACTCAGGTAATATTAATTCAATCGTACAAAAGTTGATTAGTTTGATAATCTTAAACTAAAATAGTCAAGTCAGTCTGGTCGTTTTCTTGAAGGAAGAACATTTTATGTCATTATTGACAGACGAATTTAAAGTTATTTGGCGCACAGAGTTCTTGATTAATTAAGAAGCCAGTACCACCAATAAACTCAAAACATATGAATGAAAATAAATAGAAATTTTCAACGCAATTTCTGTTGTCCACCTGTTTAATATCAATAAAATGATAAAGATAAAGGATGAACACATTAGCAAAAGTTTTGCAACTCTTGGAAAATAAGATTGATTACACTTGTGAGCAAAAAGTAATGTATAGTTGGAAGATGATTTGACTGATTATACTTCTTAACCATTTTATTTGAGCCGTGTTGTGTGGTCAGATTCCATTGAATACACTCCCCATAGTAAAACAAATCTATCGATAGCATTTTAGCTTATGTATCACCTGCCATCCGACCATGAGCTTTCTAGCTTTAGCATAGAGACTTAATATGTCTAGACTTATCTAACCCTAACGGTAAACTTACTACTCAATAGACTTACTAACAACCGAATGATCAGAAGAATACTAAGTAACTGATAGAAAATAATCAAGGTTGTTTAAACCATTTTGGGTTATAAGCAAAGCTGCTGTATCGACATTAACATGTAAGACTATTGTGAATATGAATGAAATCCTTCATTCTGTATTTTAGGCCAACAACATAGGGAAGGGTTAAGATATTAGTTTTAACCAAAATTACTATCATTGATCACTGATGTGATGCTAATTCAAGCAATCAGTGGGTATTTGAGCATAATATTTCAAATAAATATGACGGATAAATGAGTTCAAAATAACCATTTTAATTATGCCCTGGGAGTTGGAAGAAGAATTATGACGTCGCGTGATGAAAGCCGAGTTCCCTCGGAAGTCACGAGGCCGATGCCCCTTCTCACAACCAGAGCAACCATTCTTTTATGTACATGGAACGTTCGAACATTATGGGAGACTGGAAGACTAACTCAAGTTGCTGCAGAAATGAAAAGATACAACCTCGAGGTGCTCGGCATCAGTGAAACGCATTGGACACAGGTAGGACAACTAAAACTAGCTGGTTCTACTCTGGGCATGAAGAGGAAAATGCTTCACATACACAATGAGTTGCACTGATGCTGTCCAAACAAGCACAAAAGGCACTGATAGGATGGGAATCTCATGGACCGAGAATCATTAAAGCATCCTTCAAAACAAAGAAAGAGGACATTACAATGAACGTCATCCAATGCTATGCACCTATCAGCAACTACAATGACGACGTTAAAGATCAATTCTACGAAAGGCTGCAGTCAATCGTCGACAGATGCTCAACAAAGGATTTGACGATTCTTATGGGAGACCCAAATGACAAGGTTCTCATGGACAACACTGGATATGAAGACATCATAGGACGACATGGACTGGGAGAAAAGGACGAAAACGGTGAGAGATTCGCAAACCTATGTGCCTTTAACAAACCAGTCATCGGCGGCACAATATTCCCACACAAGCGCATACACAAAGCCACATCGATTTCACCCGATCACACTACTCAGAACCAAATCGACCATAAAGGAAATAATTTTAAGGATTTTCTCTTGTACTTAGATGGAACTATCAAATTTATTTCATGTTAATATGAAGACTGAGTGACAGATGACAGTGTTTATACTTGTTACTGTAGGAGAGGTAGATTAGGTACTACACTGTGTTGACGAATATTGTACTTTCGAGCAGAACATTTACTGGTCATAACTAATATATGCGTTAGATCACAAGTCGAACGACTGACTACGAAAACTACACTACAAAAATGACAAATCTGTTTGATTGTAGAGTATACGGTAGCATCGGTAAACATCTAATAAATTAGTAAAATAACCAATGATAAATAGTTGGTTAAATTATATCAAAAAAAAGTCAAGCAAAAATTGAAAACAAATCAACAAAATACACTTCAAATTTAATACACACGCTATAATCTGGCAATCATTCCAAAATAATGGAAATTAACTTTGAACACAAACTCAAAACAAAGGAGAAATTAAAAAGGAAACAACGAACTAAGTAGTTTTATTTTAGTCTTTTTCTTTTGAATTTTTTCCACCTATTAACTTGTACAAAACATTGAGCAATGAAACCATTATCCATGCACTCACCCCAAAAAAAAAACCGACGTGTAACAATTATTTAGTCTATGGCGCGTAAACATACAATACATAAACAATGCATTGAAAGTTGAAAATCAGCGAAGCACCAGTTTGTCACACAGAAATAATATAAGTGAATAACATAAAAATCTAATAATGATTGAACAGAAAAATTGTTTACTATTATTTGTACTCTCTCTTGTCGGATAATAAGTTTTGTTTGTATTAGCCAAGCAAATATACAGTTTTATTTTGTACAAGAAAATAACTTGTATTTTGTAATTAAGGATGTGTTAGTTTGCACGTGTATGTGTGAGGACTTTCTGTTGAGACAATAACAAAATAAAGTGGATAGTTCAAAATGTCAATATGGATCGATTATGCCATGTATTTAGTTTCGTAGATGTATTAAGTTGATTCAAATACAGACAGAAAAAAACCCAGAAGCATGAGAAGTATGTGAAAGAAGTTTTTATGTATGAACTTACACTGATACACGTACGCACAGGGTTGCTTTAAGAAAATATAAAAAAAAATATACTGATTTATACATATTATTTGAAGAAAAGACACCAGTGTAGTTTTAAACACTGACTGAACAACAAATCCACACCTTTCATGAAACAGCTTTTTGACATGATGTACAATTTACTTTTTAAAAAAAGAGGTAAAAAGGATTTACAAAATAAAAACGAATAACAATCAGGTACCTAGTTCAGCTCACAGCACGGATTGAATAAAATAAACTTGTGAACAATTCGGTATATCCCTGTGTGTGTGTGTGTGTAACAACATATGGAAAATAAAAGGAAAAAAATAATTGTGGGAGAATTTCACCTATTCAACTCTCCCTCAAGTACAGAGATAATTTAATAATAATGAAAAAAGAAATACAAAAATGATGGATTTGCTTGTTTGACATGTCAAAATATAGACGAAGTAATACATTTTATTAGATATAGAACAAACAAATTGGAAGATGAATGATGGTTTTTTTTTCACAGTTGTCGGATAAAGTAAGAATAATGGTAATAGTAATAATGTGGTTGGTTGACGATCACATTTCCTTTGGCAATTGTGAAGAAGGTATGGAATCTTTTGACTGGTATGATTGTGTAACGAAGTAATACGCTAACAGAACAGCTGCGATCAAAACAATCACGCTGACAACCAGTATGGTAGGATTGTACAATGTGACTAAAAAATTTATAGAAATATGAAACTCGTAACTGACAATGATAATAATATAAGTAAAAGAAATATATACAGATTACATGCATGTATGGTGCTGTAAAGTTAAATTTATCATGCTACACTCCACTAGCCAGCCAGCCAGTCCTTCCAGTGAGTGGATTTGCTCTAACCAGATAACCAACGTTCAATAGATAATAGAACAACATCGCAATCAACAATATTGTATTTTAGCTAAGTTAATTTCGCTATCCATAGATGGCAAAGCAGTGGCTGATTAGTTAAAGTCCTTGACCTTCACAGTTTTTCAATTAAGCACCACCGATTTCACTTTATACAACAGGATAGCGTTTTGTTAGTCTCTTAACACATAAACTATGGCATATGATAAATCTGACATAGACAAACATTTGCTTTGATGAAGAGTAGAATTGTACACAAAATAATTAACTTACTTTGACTGGAAATAGGAACAGATTCACCTACTTCATCGATTAATTCAGATTCGGAGAATTCATCATCAGCACTGACTACGTATACGTGTGTAGAAGAAAGGAAGGGAATAACAAAAATTGCATATCGATCAAGTTTTAATACTGGTGACAAGCTATAAAAACTAAATTATTCACGCTACATCGTATAAAAAAAGATATAGCTAACAACAAATTAATTTATCTATTGAGTTATTTTAAAATAATTTACTTTAATAATCAACGATGAAACCATGAAAATAAATAATGCAATAAATTACACAACAGGCAACTATGAGAACTAGAAGACCGTGTGTGAAGGTGTGTAAACGTTATTTAGTGGTGACGTTCGTGGACCCCATTTTCGAATATTGTTGTTGCTGAACAGTTGTTCAGTCGGTGGAAATACCACGTTAGTAATCCTGTGATCTAGGTGTAGCAACTACAACTTGATAATTGTTATAATCATAAAATATTGACTTTCATATCTTAATTCTATGTTAGCTATGTCAACCCAGCGATTACCACATCGCACATTAATTACTAACGCTGGGACTGGGTGAAAAAAGTAAAGGTGAAATCGTGCTGTGGAATGAGAGAAAGCTGTTTATGACTGTGATTTGCCGTCTATCACAATTCTACGTTGCAGCTGACTGATCTCCTGAGTGGATACTCTGTAAGTAATATTACCGAACTCTCACTCTCCATTGTGCTGACATCTACACGATACGATTAGCGCTATCATATTGAAAAGTTATGTTGAAACACTGGCATTGGTAGATTAAACTTATTTAAGGACGTTGCAGCATTACTAAACATGTACATAATAAACTGCTTAGTTTAATACACTCATATAAGCTTCTATGTTAATCACCACTACAGAAATGTATGCACATTGTTTAAGCGTGATCACCACTACATATTACTATAGAGTTGGAGTTCTTCCATTGTTGATATTCAGGACAGAATTTGGTCGATTTCAATTAATATATCCTGAATATGAACAATGAGGAAATATAAACTTTTATTAATAAGAAATATTAAACTGGTTAAACAAGTTGGCAACAATTTAGTCTCAGTGTCATATCCAGATGAAGATTCCAGAAATGGTGACTTCCAATAACAACTTATCCATTATTATTAAATATATTCTTATTTTATTATTAATAAATGACTAGATCATCACATTTATATTCCCTTTGTCATAAGCTCTTGATTAAATCACTAACTACTGTTATGTGATTTAGAATTCATAATCAATTGTTAATCTGTTACTTACAGACACTCCTATTCACAGACACTTTTGGCTTACTCACGGCTAAACGTAATTCCTCATTTTGTGGTGTGAAGTGATATGTTATGTTTCGTATATAAACCATATTTACTTGAAATATAACAATTTTATGGTGGCTAGCTACGGACTTTCGGACTGAAAAACAGGGTAGAAAGAAATCGGTTATCGGGTTGTGGACCAATAATGTTTTAGAAATGACTTCCAGTTTCAGGTGTTAACTTAATTCTGAACTGGTGCTTTGTATTTGTCTAGTGATACTGATTAACGGTTAGGGTCAAAACATTCTTGCTTGGAAAATAACTCAGTATTTATAGTGATAGGTACCAGTTTCGGTTTTAATATGAACATCAGGAATGGGATTCAGGTACGATGAGATATAAATACACACTGCTGACTTACGTTCAGGACTTTTTTCCAAAGTAATGTCTAGGCACGAAGCATCTATAGGACCACGTGAAGATGGCACCTCGATTTCAGATAGAGAATTTTTCGAGGAGTTGGTGGTATCGGAAGTAATCCCCTCACCTGTCCCATTAGTAGTAGTTCCAAGAGGTAAACAAAAATACACCAGACGATTCACAACATCTTCAGCAGTTTCTGACAAAAATTTATAGTCAGACAATGGTAATGTAGGACAAGCAGGAAGTCGAACTAATACTCGTTGAGGCAGTAACATGCGAGGAACTTTAGAAAAGAGTGGAAACAGACATCAGATAATTTAAGCATACATCAAAACATACGTAATCAAAAGACAGAAACTATTGGAATAACTATAAACAGACGGGAGTCTGAATTTAGTTAGCGATCCCAAAGATAAGTAAATCAGTAATACATAGCATGTGAAGACTAATGGACAGTTCGGCTAAGTAACACGAGTTCTATGATAATTCGGCCTAACAGTGTTCCTAACAGTTAATTATAAGACTACAAACTGATTTATCCAACTAGACAAAAGTTAAAACATACGTTCATATCTTTTTGCATTACATTACATTCATTCGACTATTACGATTCTTGAGAACATCTCCTTTATCAGTTTATTTACGTGTATATCAAATCAAAATCTAGCAGCACCAACAATCAACATGAACAGACACATTGTTAGAAATAGGTTATAAATAATGTTAGTTGTACTTTAAATTCTTATTTCCTACGGTTTAATAATCCAGGATAAGAGTCAAGATGCTTAATAGTAGACAAAAGCATACTATCAGTGCATTTTAGTTGATACCACAAATTACTTATAGTCCTTAATCTAAACGTCTTCACAGTAGTAACGACGCTATCACGAGAAAGTGAAAACTAGTGTTTCATGTGTACTTTATCTATAGCTACGATCAGAAAATGAACTTCCTATTATTCACGGTGAATTAATTCGACTAAATCAAACTGTTTACAATAGCAGAACGAACAAGTTTGTGTTAAACCAAACTGAATAAATAAGAAGCGACTGAAGGTAGCTGGCATAGACGACATTGATATTCAGACACTTTTCATTTAGATGAGTTATGAATATCAATAACATGATCAAAAAGTAATGTTCACACATATGCCATACACGGACTTTTGTATTTGTGATGACATTCAACCCCTTCAATACTAGTCACGTTAAATAAAGTTAGTTATATTCGACATATGAAACGATAATTAACCACTTACTGAACTTAAACTACCCTCGATCCACAAGACAAAATGTTTAAGCATATCTTAAAATTGCCCTACAAACCCCTGTACCACCTCACCTCAGAGTCGTAAACACTTTAAAGGATAATAAGAGTATGAGAGTGCATAGATATATGACAAGACTGAATATGTATTCTACTTGATGAATAAAAAACAAAATGATAGGGTTTCATTTTCCTTTCAATTTGTCAGAATTCTCATATCAACTAGCTAAACAATAATATTTATCAAATTAGTTGCTCAGAGTAAAGAATAAAATAAAAGGGTACATATGTGAATTTATCATTAATCAAACACTAAGAAATAGGTATTTAAAATTAAATAACAGTTTACCTTCCAGTTCAGCACTGGTAATATGTAACTCTTCCGTTAAAAGTTGTAAACGTGTTAGTATACTCCGTACAAGATCATTCCGTAATGCCTAAAAGTTAATGACAATGAAAACGTAGATTAAATAGTAGCAAACAAATATCAGTGAAATTTTACTAACTAATAAAACTATTAGCATAGTGTTCATATCAGAAAGAAAAGGCCTGCAAGTTATAAAATAATATAGGAACTTGATACAAAAATACACCCCAGTGTATCATGTAATAACTGTCAGTGTCGAATGGATGATCCAAATAGAAATAAATGCAAAAGGTATACAAAATCATATAACGAGTTCTTAATAACGTTGTTTTGTGCGTGGAAGCCAAGGATACTACCCGAATACCTAAACGGAAATAAGTAGAGTTGGGTTTGAATCTTATCAAAAACTTCAACCACTTAGCTACTGTTTTAATATCTGTAAACATATTTTGATGTTAGGCAGCAGGAAATAATTTAATATGTTTTGTTTTCTTTTACTGTTCACACATGTAATTAGCCTGTTAGCTGCTTTAAACTAACTTCTACAACTTTTCTATGATGGATTTTACTATCTAATAGTCCTTACCCGTTGCTATAACTCAAACTTAGTTCAGTGTTACGTCATGGTCATCATTTTATATTGAGTAAACTGTTTTAAAACATGGAAAATAAATTATGAAATGCACACAGAAATATTTTCCTGATTTCTAAATAACAATTTTCTATTACTAATCCCAACTAGATATTTGCTTTGTTCCGAGGAAATAGTACGAGTTTATGGTTATGTCAAGTAACTTAGCGTTAGTCAACGAGGTCACGATGTTACCCTAATCACCGAACGCCAAACCAATGAATCCGAGATTATTAGTATCACTTTATGAGCGACACATATTTTTAGCATTCAGTCCTCATTCGTGTGTAGTGAATCGACATACAAATCGAGACTATCCCGAATAATTTAATCGCTAACTGAACAATCTGATTCAGACAAATCTGAGTTTGAGTGGGATTTGGATAGGTGCCCTGTGATATTAAATGAGGTTAGTTGCACACTCTCCAATCAAATGAAAGTTGGACATAACATTCAGTAACTGAAGTGAAATTTAAAACTGATTGAAAGATGAGTTTCGATATGTCCATGAAACATCCAGCCGTTTACTCCGAAGCTATTGATTTTAATCGTATACGGATTTTCTGTTAACTTCAATCATTACTTCTGTATAATATAATATTTCCAAGTATATACTCGTGGAACATATATTTTACGATTAAGGTTTATTAATGAAAAACGAATTAGAAAATATTAAGAATCTATATATGAGATTAGCTAACCTCAAGTAAGTCTCCAACGCTTGAATTAGATGGTAAAAACGCTATTCCAGGAATTCGGCCATTGATTAACAATCGATTAATAGGGACGAAACTACCTGAAGAATCATTAGTATCATTTCCATTATTCATATTTGTGTCTGAACTAGCACCAGACTCAAGTGACGATGACGAACTTGCACGCTGCCATTGGGGGAACTGAAAAGTAGGAGGGGAATGATGTAACAGTGAAAGGAAATCCAACTCAATACTAGTCAGTAATTTACTGTTATCCACTTTGAAATATTCAAGATGATGTGAAGTGGATTTTACTAAAAACCAATAGAACCCATCTCAGAAGCGTGGTAAATTTGTTTACGAGTTATAAGAATGTTTTTAGAGCGTGATTAGGAGCGATTCTGCCTGTAATAGAGCATTTGGGTGAAGTGATTTAAACAGGTGGAAATGGAACAGGTGCATCTATTTCGCTTTTATCATAGATCCAGAGCCTCAAAGTTATAATTTTTTGTTTCACGGATTTATTCTTTCTTCATGAATCCCATCATTCATAACAAATTTTCTTCTACTAATGATACTTTTACCATTTTTATTACTCAGGGATTTGTCTTAATAACTTCATCTCGTGTCAATGCAGTATGACTAGGACTAATACACGAATATACATATGGCTGATATCTAACTAGTAGCGCATTCAAATTGTCCTAAGAAAACTTTAAATCAATAAGTATAGTAGCTTATTCTTGACACCAACTGAATATAAACTCAATTTCATACCTAGCAATGAGCAATAAGTATTAGACTAATATCATTCACTGCTGAGGATCATTGTTGAATAGATGAATGGATTTCAACCATATCATGACACAAAGATAGTATTTTGTAGTTTCAGAGATAAAAATCTAAAAGATAGTAAAGTTTTAAAGAAATTGCTTTTAAAGTTGATGATATTTCAGTGCAATCACATCTAATATGTGAGAGTAAACGATACTTCTTACCTGTTGAAAACTGAAAAGTGAAACGGGTTTACTAAGCGTAAATCTATCGTAATTCGAATTACTATATCATTCGATCACAATTATAAAGTTATGGAAATTGACAACAGGTCAAGCAAAATGGAACTAACAATTGAAGCAACTACATCCTTTTATTGAAAGTTTAGAACATTGGAGTGACATTGAGAAGCGATTGAAACAGACTACAATTGCCTGAATTTACGTTGAATATGACAACCTACAACACTAGTCAGATTTCTACATGAATTGTAGGGAATGAGATACACCTACAACTGCAAAACTATACAGTTGATTGTGGATGTTGAGGATTTACAGCAACATCAGTATGCAGGGAAATTACTGAATCAATCAGTTAGTCAGTCAACAAAAACACAGAACTTCGTACGTACGTTCATCAGTTCAAGTTACCATACCACATTAAAAGCTCCAACATGTAGTTGAGAACGGGGTTTCAGGAGACCAGGAATAACGTTTCAGGAACTGGGATCGTTTGCATCCCCGGTGCAGCGTGACAAAGGAATGTGAGAAGGGTGAGTCGTGGAGATAAGGGAGATGTTTGGGGATGTAGGAGGGATTTGACTATGACCGATTCGGTTTCGTGTGCTGGTACGGGTATGACGGCGGATGTCACTTTCCGGCTGCCCACACTGTGGAAGGAAATTACTGAATAAACAACTACGGGGGCCGATCATACTGTTTTTCCGGAATCACATCAGATTACCTCATGGGATTATGTAGTTATATAAATTGTGGTGTAAACTTATAATTACCTACCACAGTTAATAGTGCTGTTCAATACATAAGATTCACGATGTAAATCTTAAGGATCAGAAAAAAGGTGTTAACTGCATAATTAACCAATAATTAGATCAATCTAAACATTCCATATAGTGACTAAGAGTCAATTTGGAAGATGTGTTTACCTCCTAATGCTCAAACTGTGAGCAATCCATTAATATACTACCATATTTCAATTACCTTCAGCTCACTATTTTTCTGTTAATTGTTTCGAGGAACCAAGAAGCAAGTAAGTAATTATAAATGATAAACTATTTGTAATTAATGAACAAGCTAAATCATTGTGGCATTTACCGAAAACGATAAGGTCGATGCTATAGTGAGTAAATAGGATGAAGGAAACTAACTTCAATTCATGACCCGTTCTCAAACCAAGTCTTTAACTTATTTCCTATGCAATATTTAAGAGTTTAAATGGGTACACAGTTTAATTAACCACATTAGCCACACAAATGAACTGGGAAAAAATTATTTTTATCTATTAGTGCAATAATTACACTTAACATTTAGTGTATGCCATTATCTGATTTTACTATCAGGAACCTGATGGTTTGCCCTAATATTTCAGAAAGACAATATTAATGTATCAAGATTAGATAGAAATAACAAGGGAAGTACTGGGAGAACACTGTTCGTTGTCGTTACCTCAACGAGTCGGTAAAACGAAACCTCATTAAATTAATATTTTTATGCGATAATTACTTGAAAACTAGGTACAATAAAGAGACTGTTGTAAGTCGCAAGGCACTTCAGAGTCACGTAGAATCGCTAGTATGGAATGACAGACATAGTAAAGCTTTGACCGACATCCGCTGTAACTCATTTGCCAAGTACAGATTCGGATACTTTAAGTGTGAAATTTAATTACGTTAACTGGCTGCCCAAAATGAACTAACCGGAGAAGGATTCGAATGTGCTTGAAGGCTGAATGTACTAGTCACTAAGCCATTGCTTCACTGATCAGTATCAATAAAAGTCGTACTGCTGACTGCAGAGGGGTGTGACAGCAGTAAGGTGTTTCCCTCGGACAACCAGCATCTGCAGCGATGCTGCCTTCTCACAAGGAAGGAAGGGTTAGAAAAGGTCGACCCTAAAAATGTCACACCTCCCCTAACTCACGGATTTCCGTCTCCTTGGGTAAGGGTGCCCACTAAGGGCCTTTAAGAACGGAGCTAATCCTCAAAAAACATTTCATAAAAAGGCCGTGCGTGACCGGCCTCAAGCAGTTGTCCTTTGGGCTCTGCGGTCACGCACCAACACTAATCCATCTTCCTTTTCAGGTCCCTCAAGAAACAACCTTCCACGGTGTGGGCAGCCGGGAAGTGACAACCGCCCTCATACCCGTAACAGCACGCGAGACCAAATTGGTCAAAATCAAATCCTTCCTACACCCCCTAATGTCTCTCTTATCTCTACGACTAACTCTACTCACACTCCCTTTTCTCACTGCACCGCTAATGCAGACGAAGCGAGATCACGAAACGTCGTTCCTGGTCTCTTGAAACCCCGCTCTAGACTACATGTTGGAGCTTTTAATGTACGGACATTGTGTCAAATAGGGCAACAGGCATCATTAGCTAGGACTTTAGAAACTCGTGCCATCGATGTATGCTGCGTCTCGGAAACGCGCATACAGGATCCTAGTAAAGTCATTAACCTGATTCCACCTTGTCAAAACGAAGAAGCAGCCCGATTCACTCATCGTGTATCCGGTAGCCCTGATGCTGCTTACAGGGGTCTTGCTGGCGTAGGCAAAGCGTTGAGTCCAAGGGCAGAATTATCTCTCCTTGACTGGATCCCTGTAGATAGTCGCTTGTGCGCCGTCCGACTGAACGGGACAGTAAGGGCTCGGAAAGATAGGGACACTCGTCGTTGCCTCTTCGTCATATCTGCCTATGCCCCCACTGACTGCAGTGCAGACGAGGTTAAAGATGAGTTTTACAGAAAGCTTTCGGACCTCCTCCAAAAAGCTAGGCGCTCTGATATAGTAATAATGGCTGGTGACTTTAATGCTCAAGTAGGTAGACTAGGTGAAAAGGAAAGACATCTTGGTGGATGTTATGGTGTAGCGACTGAGAGAACAGACAATGGCGACCGTCTGTTGCAACTATGCTCAGATAACCGCCTATTCTTAGCGAACACCAACTTTAGGCATAAGGAAAAGCATCTGTTGACCTGGCGACCCCCGAAGTCGTCTCAACGTTGGACTCAACTAGATCACATCGCCATCAGCCACCGATGGAGGGGTTCGATAGAAGACTGTCGCTCGTTCTGGGGCACATGTTTGGATTCAGATCATGCTCTAGTGCGAGCTCGTATCTGTTTGAGGCTTACTGGACGTAGGAAAGACACCGTAAGAAAGCCTCTTAGGGTTTTACTTAATGATAATCAAACCAAGAAAATATTTCAGGAGCAACCTGAA